TTCTCACAAACTTTAAATTGATCCCACTATATATATTTACTGAAACATAAATATTATTTTAAGGATTATGACAGAAACTGAAGAACTGCAAAAGATAAACGCTATGAAAGCTGGATTCTGAGATGGACATTATGCTACTGTCTTTAAACACCCAACCAAGTGTTCTTGGTTTTTGTTTGTTTGTTTTTTTTTTGATAGGATCCTTTCTTAAGTGTAGGGAGTGTGTAACAGAGTAACAGATTACTTCACCCTGATGACTCAGTTTCTCTGTTCTCAGCCATTTTCTGCTTGAAAATCAATAGCAATAATCCAACGAGCTTTATATTGAATGGGAAAAGACATCCAGTGGAGAAAAGAAGTGACATAACAATGACACTAAAAGGGTAAAAGTTATTACCATTCAGCAGTGAACTTAAAAACACTCATCTGTAGGTAAATAACCTGAATTACCTAGACCTCTGCTTCCAGGGCCCTTGAAACTTTAGTAAGTAAGAAAAGAAGAGAAAAAAGTACTTAAGCACTTAAAATGCAGTGCACAGTCAGGCACTAAGATATGGCAAATTACACCACAACAATTAAAAATAAGAATAAACATGTGGCCTCAAATCAATTGGGAGAACACAAACACCAGTCTGATGACAAGCAATGACAATGGCAGGGACAAATATATGGTCTTCATTTGTGGATTGCGCCCATCCTGCCATTAGGCAGGTGATTCAGTTATCCCAGATGAAGGAAAGAGTAGTGAAGGGCTTTTCCCCAAAGAGTTACTGATACCTTTCTCACTAATGGTGGCCACAGGCAGGAGCAGGCATGGTGAGCGGGGACTCATCTGGGAGCTAGCGCGCGGGGTTCACCCAACACGTGATCTGTGCAAAAGCTGCCAGAAAATTCAACTACAGAAGCAATCTTTAGCCTATAATTCCTCCAAGCTGTTTTACCTGAACATGACTTACAGTAACCTGCTCGGGTGTAAAATAAACTTTAGTCAAAACTATTTACTTTTACGAAGTTTATTTCTTAAACTTCTTCCTAAATGCAAACAAACATGGAAACTGGCCTTACATGTCACAGCTTGCTCATTCTGAGTATGTGTAAGACAATACGCACAATTCTGATGCAAAACATGAGAAGAAAAAACAAGATTTATGATTATGCATTGATTTATACGTTATATTATGATTTATTCTTCTCTTCCAAAAGGTGAAAAGTACTAGTTAACATTGTTATAGGAGGCCACCATGAAAATATATAAAATATGGACACATACAAGGAAGATTACATGCAAAATATTTCTTCAAAGAGTGAAAATACATGTTATACCTTTATTTCAAAACTGGACTATAAGACAGCAGATAATGTTCTGGGAGCAAGAAAGAATAATGATTAACTTTATTCGCAGGTAACCACAGATTAAATGAAGCTTTAAAAGATTTCCTATTTTCCAGCCACAATTATACTTCGATGCAACTTAATTATATTATTTCTTAGAAATGGAACTCTGCTACAATAATTAAAAATGCAAAACATGAAAGGAATCTTCTTTTGTAAGCTTTTCTTTGGGAGTCCCCCAAAATTGCAGAGATTTTTTTCTGTTTTTAATTGTACTCCAGTGAGGTGTTAACATTTTTATGACTAATCAACACTGTTGTATTATGCATTTTTGAAATAACTCTCTATTTTCCTCTTTTAAGTGGAATTCGGAACTTGGATGCAAGTATTTCAATTATGCTTGTATTTTAAGACTAAAATGTAGTAAGAACAGGCATAAGGACACTCTGCATCCTAATCCTGCAAAACGTTATTCCAACAGCAATTTCTGATCGTACATTTCTGATTAGTAATGTTAAATGTTCATCTTTGACATATCTCTTTCAAAAAGGTTTAAAATTATCTAACAATAATTAGATCATTTTTGCTTAGTGACGTACAAATTAAAAAATTTCCAAAATCCTATTTCAAAATGTGCAACTTTGATTTAACAGTTTCTCATTGCTAGAAGCGTCCACTATATTGTACGATGAACTGTTACAAGGCACCTTTACAAAAGGAACATTCAGGTTAGTTTTGTGACTTGTATCTTCGACCATTTTTAGCAATATCTGCTGATAACTGCTACTCTTAGAAGCCCCGAAGCAGAAGCATTATTGCGAACTAACCACAGCCTTTGCAAATTCTGCTATAAATCTAACACTGAAAAGCAGTTTCGAAAGCTTTGCAAATTGCATTTCTTTGAGAATTTATTCCAGTAGCAATTATTATTTATATAGCATATTGGGAAAGCCAGTCACCACTGTAAATTCCAATATTAAACACTCACTTCTGGAAGACTAAGAATTGGTTCAACTATGTCAATAAAAACACTAAGGTTTACTTTAGCCTGTTACCGAACATAATCTATGAAAAGAAATAGGCTTCAGGAAATACTACTTTTAGTTCAAGTTTTGTAGTTTAAATCTCCGTACAGTTGAAGAACTATTTTGCTTTACATGTGCTTAGCCATACAGAACTTGATTAATGGCAAGCTATTCCTTATGATTTTAAAAGGCAAGTTTTTAAGGTTTCTTATTACTATTTTTGTTTTGCCTTTTTAAAGTATTTATAGTACTGCCAAGTGCCAGTAGCAGCAATTGATCTCACTTTTTCATTTAACATGTAGTAATCTGCAGTAGCCAGTTTAGCCCAGACTATATTAACACACTGCTTCATAGGATTTTATTCATCGTAATTCCATCTAAGAAAAACAGCAAAAAAATTTGCTTTTGCTTTTGTGAGTTCATTTGTCTGTCAAACCAGTAATTTTAATGTTAGAAAATCATTGCTGCTCAGTTTTTTAAAACTCCTAATTACATCTTGCAACATCTCCTACTGAAAGAAATTATGTAGTACATATCTGGCAGTAACCAATATCTGATATTTGAATTCAAGGGACTTGCCTTAGAAACTGTGAATTTCCTACAGCCAAGTCACAGTTTATTTGACTGCAAATATTTTCACAGTTAGCAGTAACGAAGTGGCAGACAAACACCATGAGACATCATATTCCTGGTTTTTTAATATTTGTACAGAATAAATAAATGCATAATTGATCAATTATATATTCAAGTGGGGAAATAAAATGCTAGCCTTTCATTGTCAATTGACATACAGTCTCATCATCAGTGAGCACAAATGAAATGCTAATGGCAGAGAAGATGAATGCCAATTTCTCCCACTTTGCTCCAAGTTTCAGTGGCTCTTTACAATAAAAGATAGCTGTTTGTGGAGACTGGCTTGTTCCATACCATTAACTCAGAACAAAACATATTTTTAGTGGGACAGCAGTGTTTACTTGTAAGAACTGATGAATTGTACACCACCATTTATCACTTGTAGACAAAGACATTCAGGCACAATTTTGGACATAAATCAAGGTACATGCTCCTAAATAAAAAAGGGATTGCTTAAGTCTCTAAAACTGCATAGATTGAGGTCAGATCGGCCATAGCAACCAAGAATGGTACTTAGGCCTCCAGTAAGACTTAGCAACCAATAAATGAGCTCAGATCTCTTTTCATCTCCACTGGTGTGAAAGCCAAAATTAAAAAGATTAGATCACGCTGCACCCATCACAATAGACTTCACAGTGAAAAAGTCATTTCTACCCTTTGATTCACATCAAATAAATAACATTCATCCCTTCCATAATGAACAACTTTCAAAGTAAATTGAATCTCCATAGCGCTGCTTTCCCTTGCTGCACCATATTTACATAACAATAAATCACAGGAAGCTCAGAATGGGTCTTACAAATGGAAGCCTGAATATCAGTGCATCTTTAGCACTGATTACAGTATATTCGTCTTTAAAATGCATTCCATTTAAAACTTAATGTACTATAGATCATAATAAATATAAACAATGTTTTAAATATTGCACTATGAAACTTTGCCACTATTTCAAAATGGAAATTAGATAGTAAATAGCTCCCTCCCCCTTTCCCTTCCAATCCCTCCATTTGAGGATTTTCAGCAAATGCTACTTTTTAGCAGCATTGATGATACTCTCTGTCTAGCATTTCCAGGAAAAGCAATAGTACATCTTTTTTCTTACTACCTCTTTTCATACTGTTTCTATTTTTTATATATAAATACAGGTAGCTACTTTCAAGTGCTCTAACAATTCTTTTTAACCTCCTAGACAAATTGGTAACCTAATATTCTCACACAAAGGTTCTTCTTCCTCTGTTAGCTCTAGTTGTTCGTAAATATGTAGAACTGAACACAGCTGTAGGAATCTAACACATATCTAGCATATGAGATTAGAAAACATACCTACCAAATGTTTGCATTGCATTTTCACCGCATGCCCTGTTTTCCCTGCACTCACTTTGTCGTCATTAAATGTAGATCATCAACCCTTTCTTATCACCGGTTATCTTTAAATGAAAGTATTCAAAAGCAGTATATTAAAACAAGAACTACACCTACATTAAAAACATGCAGAAATATTTTCAACCTTCTGCAGCAACAACTCGTGTAGATTATACTATTTGAACTCAGCAGGGAACCTCATTAATTTTTAAAACTCTCTGACCCCAGTGCAGTTAAGGGTGCAAAAATAATTACAAATTAGGGTTGAGGGAGCACTGTTTAATATTGCATGTGTACTGTCAGCCACACAGCATTTTATTGCATCTGGATATTTATTGTGGCTAAATATAATTTTAACTTAGCTAAAATGGAGCTTTGCAGTGAATTTCAAAAACACAAAGGTTAGAAATGTTACATATTTTAAAATGTAACTATAGTAGCCACCACCTCTATGAAAAAATCCCCCGTTCTCTGCAAACACTCTTGTCACACAAAGCACGGCAATTACAGGTTTAAAAGCTAGTAACAGCCTGGATACAGCAGTAAACGGAAATATTTCTTTAACAAGGCACGTTTGAAAGCTAGCAATTTCTAACTTATTTAGCAGGCTATAAAATACTTGGCGGAGGGTATAAATATTCTTCTTACCGAAAACTTGTCAGAAGAAAGATCCTTCTCCATTGTTGTCACCTCCAGTGCCCTCTCTCGCCACCATGGAGATGGGGTCTGCTATGTTTATTGCTCTGTGCCTCGCTTACAGCTGTGACACTAATGTGCCTGCCTGGACCAGCACAGGGGTGTGTGGGTGCGTGTGTGCGAGCGTGCGGATGCGGATGCGTGTGCGTGTGTGAGAAAAGGGAGCCCGCTGACTTCAAGACTGAGAACCTACACCCCAGGCCAAGCCAAGGCTGAATGAGAATGATCAAAGCTCTGTCCTTCATCAACAGAGGAGGCAAGATTTTCTTTTTTTCCTGCCTCCTTTCTTTCTTTCCCCCTCCCAGTGAAAAGTGGGACTGTCATTAGGGATTCCCACTAAAGAAACCTCTGAGAGAGGCAGCCCTTCTGCAGACTGCTAGTGCCTGCCCAGAAGCCCATGCAGAATACAGGTAGCTATTGTTCCCGAGACAGATATGGAGCCAGCCACTCAGACTCTGACAGATCTCAACAAACCCGCCAGCCTGCCTTCGCTTTAACTCTTTATTTCCTGGGGCTTTACTTTTCCACAAAGATTTCCTTATGCTCCAGACAGGGAGGGGCAGAGAAGAAAGAAAACATCAGCCTCGGTCATTCGGCTTTTGTTAGGAACATGTTTTAGGTTTCTTCTGCGAAGGAAGTCAGCGTACATAGATTTAGCAGTATTGATTTTAATTTCGAAATCTGATCCAGCCGCGTGTTGGATATCATAGCAATAGTACACTTTAGCAGCAAATCAGGAAGCAAATTCCCTTAAGGAAAATAGCGTGTGCCCTGTGTTCTTCTGGATGCTCATATTTCAAGAGGAAATAGAAGAGTTTGAATTGTCACCTTGCATCTTTGCGCAAATATTCTAAAGCTATCAATAAACAGATTTATTTAGTGCAAATGGCTCAAAACACAAATGGTGTTTTTTAACTGGAAACAGACTTCCAGGATTGACTTTCAGTACTGAGAGTGGAGGTGAGGTCTCCCACAGAAAACTGTGTTAGAGAGAGCAAGTACGTGGTTAGCTGGCACAAGGTGCAGCAGATAACCGTTTCAGTCTTGTACCAGGCTTATATTTTCATGAGCAAATTATATTCGTACCACAAATTGTGTTTTGTTTTGTTTGAAATATGATATGAAACTTAAGAATTTACTCACAAAGACATAATCGGGGAGGGTGTTAGAAAAAATAACCTGACATTTATGTTTTGTGTTTAACTTTTAGCAAATAATGAAGTAATGTATGAAAAAGGAATGATCCTAGATATTGCTATAATTCAGTTAAACACACATTTTTCTCCCCTCATTCTGTTTAAACCTGTGTTAACTTTAAGCAGGTTGCAGTGGGATGTGTATGCACACATGTATGCTTGTTCTTTGATGGATTGATTGGTTAGATGGTTGGAAAGCAATTCTGTGGTGCAGAAGTTGAACATGTCACAAAAACTTTTAACACAACAGTATAATATGATTTGGAATATGCTTTTTTAACATTCAGATGCTAACAAGAGGGCACATAAGAGATATGACTTCAAAAACACATAGTTACACTGAAAGAACCTATCAATTCAAAAAAGCATTTAGCCATTGCATAAATAATCATTTCTTCAGCAGTAACTTCATAAAGATATATTTAGTAAGATGTATGCAATTTATTTGAAAAGTTGCCCATGGTCATTTTATAGTATTTTGAGTGATCTTTTTGAAATACTTGAAAATTTTAAGAACCTTCCCCCAAAATGGCAAGTGTCCAGTGCCTTTTGAAATTCTTCCAATGTAACAAGCCAACAAGCAAACAAAAAAGCAAATCAGTCTTATTCAGTATACTTCACCCTGCACAGCAGAAATCCTCTAGACTACCAGACTCATTTTAAAGAACTAGACCTCAGCTTTCACAAGTCTTGTTGCTGTTTTATTCCAAAATATCTCATTTGTGTCAGTGAGAATATCTGTCTTTAAGGATAAAACATCTATTGAATTATACCTTTTATGATCAGTTTATGTAAATGTCCAGCGATAGGCAGAAAGAAACCTTGCAATTAAAAATATACTTACAAATTAATATATTTCTTACATACAAAAAGAATTTTATTACAAATTCTGAAGCACTGTGCAACAGTTTTCCTCCTCTTTTGGACAAATTGCTAACTGGTGTTATTAAAACACAAAAGGTAATTAAAAATGGGGAAATACATGACAAGCAGATTTGCTGCTGTGTAACTCCACTGACTTTGGAGTAGCTATGCCAACTGCATTCAGTTGAGAATCTGGCTATGAAGCTGTAATTCCAAAGGGCTATGGCAGCTTATTTTCTACCCAGCACAACTACACTGTTGCAAAATGGAGACCACCAGTACCAAACTGTGAAAACACAGTTGTGTTGTGTCACAGTTGTGTCAACAAGTACAGTTGTTGACCATGTGACAAGCTTCTCAGCATGGTCATATATGATTTCAAACTTCAAGTAGGCCTTACTCATTGCATTATGCTGGAATATTTCACCCTGCATCAAGTCTCCCACTTATCTTTGAACACTGAGTTATTAGAGTATGTTTGGCCAGCTCCTGAACTGATATCTATGCACATGCAAGCACAATTAAGAAATAACATAAAAAGCAAGTTTATGGGGGGGAGAATGGATCAGAAACTTTCTACAGGGATATAATGATGGAATCTGGTACTGTGCACAAAACTTCCACTTACTACAAATGCAGAACTTCCTTCTCAGAAACCTATTTTTACTAGAAAACCCCCAAGGCTGCATCCACTGGGGAAAGAACATTTTTCAGGTTTTTATACAACACTGGAGAAAACTTTCCAAAGACTCTGTGCACCCACTGAAGGCTGCCTGTGAGCAGGAAGATGATACTTCTTCCCGGTCAAGTCTACCACAACTAACTGATCCTGGCTGTCTAGAACTGCTACCATAAAGTGCAAGTTATTTCATTTATGAAAAGTGATGCTTGTTTATATGGATTAGCACTATTTTTTTTCTTTTAGCAACAAAAAACACGGAAGTCTAGACAGCTGCTTAAGACAGAATAAGCAGGGCTTTTCCTCCTTCCTCTTTTCTTTTCTTTCCTTTTTTTTTTTTTTTTTAAATTGTATGGCTCGCTTAATCAAAGCAGGCATTTTGGGATCGTGGGCGCAATGTTGAATATCTCGTCTCATGTACCGTAGGATATTTGAACTATTTGAATTGATTTCCCAAAAGGAGAGCATAAAGAAAACCATATATATTCTGTAGAATACTCCTGTGCTGAGAATTTTGCTTGTGAATACACTGCTGAAGTAATTTCTTTCAGCTAACCCACACAGTCACACATTCATGAACAAAACCCCATGCCAGTATCAGGTATCCATTTTCCTTTAAAGATTCAGCAATAATGATTCTTTAGTAAATAGCTTTGTATTAAGAAATTATTCATTCCAAATACAAAGAGGTATTTCACTAACTAATTGTGTTTCAGAGGTGAAATACACATAATGTATCTAAGTATGCAACCTCAATTAACCTTTTGTCTCAGTTCATAGACAAACTATCTATAAAAAGCGAGCTCTCCCAGTGATAGAAAATCAGCTTTACAACTTAACATTGTTTATTGCTAGTTGCCTATATAAAAGAACACAACACAGGGAGAGCTTTATGAGCCATTACTCAAATGAAACTCACTATTATTCTTGATCTTCGTCTCCTTAATACAAAAGCTACTGTAAAATATGAGAAAGCACTGAGATATTTTCTTTAAAAATTTCACGTTATTTTTTTAAAAAAAATTATATGTAAAAGATGGTAACTCCGTTTTATTTATTGCACCAAATACTTAAAAACATAAGACAGCATGTATAAAGACATATAAATATTTAGACTGAAACCAGTGCCTGTTTTGCTTAGGATGTAAGCAAGTGCAGCATGTAGTTTAGAAAAGAACTTATGATTAACATATGCTCAACTATATTTATACATTGTGATATAAAGCAACCAGCAATTACTGATGATAAAGTATCCTTAGTCTTTTGAAAAAAAAATACTTAATTAAATAGCTTTTCTTTAAAACTGTCCTAAAGAGCACAACTTTTTTTTTTTTTTTTCTTCAACTCTTTTCACAGAAACATAATTAGGGTATTGCATTCTGCACCAGAATCTTTGTGAAAGCAAATGTCAGGGATTAGGATTCAGCAAGATAATTACAAATGTTCTACATAATAACATAGGAAACCAGCATCAGAGATATATTTCACCAGTTTGCATTCCTCTTACAAATTATACTTTTGATACGTGATCTGTTGGGAAAATGTGTAGAAGTTAACAATATCTTCCCTCTCTCCCATTCGGTTACTTTAGAGCGCACATCAGCAGACAAAATCTCTTCAAAAAAAGGCTTTTAAGGTTTCAGATTGTGAATCCCAGATACATATTTTATAAAACCTCTACTCAACATTGAACGTGAACAGTTTCCTGCCTAACTGTTAGTACAAGAGGATATACTCACTCACACATTGCTGAGTAAACTAAACCATTTCTTTTCAAGTTTACCTTTTAAGTCCATTCTGTACCCAGTTCCATATCAAGACAAGAAATAAGGCATTTCCTAGAAACAACAACAACACATATGTGATGATCATCAGTAGAGTTTTTTTCCCCTGGTCCTTAAGCAGAGTGATTTAAGTACTCAGACTACATTACAGATATTCCAATTTGACAATTCACTTGCTAACAGGAATTTGTATTTATTAGCTGTTGTCATCAACTTAGAGCCAATTTGGACGTACCGCTTTAAGCACTGATCCACAGGAGCGCTGGTTTTGAAGGGCCACAAGTTGGATTAGCTGGATGGAGAAAAAAAAACAGTCAGGTCTGCCCCTGTAGCCTCACTCTGCCGTGGACAGTTTTCTTCTTTGGAATCTTTTGATAAGAGTCAGAATACACATGGTTTATAAATGTAGAAAAGTCATCACAATTCAGAGTTAAAAATGTTACCACAATTTCCCTCTAACTAGGGCTATTTAGGGCAGCCTTTAAAAGGT